GCACCTTTCCAAATTTATCCACATATTAATTAAAATTATTTATTTATTTATTTATTATGCGAGAGATAAATAAACACTGCATTTAGCATTCCGTAGTGTTTGCATAAGTTTTTGAGATTGCCAAAAAAGGTCTCATATTTTCTATAAATCTAAGACATTGATAGTTCTCAGAGAATTCTATGTTTAAACAAATTAAACCACCGCTGTAGACCCTGTCTAATGTCGATCTAAAACACAGATAATTATCAGATAATTATCCGATAATTAAAATTTACAATAGGCCGGATATTGCGCAAGTTTATACTACCTGTAAATTTGATTCATAATTTACCGTTCAATGTTAAAGTCCATATTAGACAACATCCACATCAGAACTCCACATTTGATTTTTTTTTAATCTTAAAATTTCTCATAATTATCTCATTGTTAGATCGATATCAGAGAGGGATCTACATGACAATAGGTCGGAGTACGGTATTTTAATATTTATCAAATTTGAAGATAGCCTTGAGTAGCAGACATTAAAATCAATGGGCACTCGTGATTTGCTTGAAACCGAAATTAAGTTCATAGTTGAATAAAGTCAAATTCATTCACTTAGATAATGGCTACTCGAATTAAATTATTACCGTCCAAAAAAAAAATGGCTAGTTGTGACGGAGAAGAAATTCGGGCTCAATAAATGCACAGTCTTAAATTGTCCTGTTCCTATGCAACTTCCAAATCCAGATTTTTTCGTATATGATTGATCCCATAAAATTCAAATTATACCCTTTATATCTCAAAAACGGCTCAGATTCTACAACCCAAATTGACCAAAATAATTCCCATGTTTCTGTTTATTTTATAGCACGAACAAACAATTTATACAATTATGTTTATCAAGAAAATTAAGTAAACTAGAATTCGTAGCAATGCACAGCATACCCGAAGTACACACATTTTCGAATTAAAGCGGTCAACACCAAATCACCACTGGTGATGGCCGCTGACGTAAAAACGTGTTCCAACTCAGAAAATGGTTAATATCTGCGTAACTTTATTGTGGTTGTCGTTTAATTGTGTCGACAATATACTTTATTTATTGCTGCCTAAAATTCAGATAATCATTAGCTGTTACATCGTGCTCGCACTTAGTCTAGGGGATTCCGAGTCGCCGTGAGATGTGTTTGAAATGATGCCGAGAAGAGTTCTTCCATCGTTTTATCCGGACTTTGAAGTGTATATCATTAGAAAATGAACAATATGTATACTATCAAAGCAATAAGATTTGCTGTTTTTAACAAGAATTTGAAAATATTCATTAAAATTAGATAATTGAAGATATCATCACAATATGAACAAATCTGAGAATGGTCTACCTGAGGTACCTATTATTATTATTGCTTTAATTCAAATCATAAGATCCATAGCAGAACAGAAGAGAACAAACAAATAAATGTAAAAGTTAATACAGCTGATTTTTCCAGTGTTGGAAAAGTGCTGACTTCCACTGTATATCAGAGTTATACAGACTCAAAAGCAGACGATTTGACGACCTCTGCCCTCGTTCATTAAATTTAAAAATGAGATTACGATAAATACACGGAAACGAATTAATGCGGTTTGTAACGAATATAGTACTAGCGCTACAGTCATTTGGATAACCAAACAGTCTG